TTTTGAAAAATGTAGCCTTACCCGAATCCGCTGATGAGCTCAGCCTCCTCTCTCCAATGCTGGCAGAAGCAATAGAGCGCACACCTGTTACTATTTAAACTAGAGCTGGTAATGATTAAAAGTTTCGTGTTTGATTAATCGAAAAAAAATGTAATCGATGAATTTCGATTAATTATAACGCACATACAGATCCAACTACATTGGCCTATACACATACAGCACAGCAATGAAGTAATAAAATGAACTAGGATCCCACTAATCCAGCACGTTATTAATCTCATGTGCCCCACTCAATATGGCCGCCGCTTCCCCTCAAACAGTATGAGGGGAATTTATCAAAACTGAAGCAAAAGTATCTGGAGCAGTTGCCTATGACAAGCAATCAGCTTCTCTCTTCAGTTTGTTCAGTTAAGGTTTAAAAATAAAAGGTGGATGCTGATGGGTTGCCATAGGTAACTGCTCCAGATTCTGTCTGTTCCAGTTTTGATAAATTCCCCTCTATGTATGTTATGACTTTCAGGGCTAGTTCACACCAGTTCCAGTGCGTTCCGGCCCGATTCGTGCTGGAACGCACTTTATTGCATCCCGGCCGCCTCACTGCATTCTGGGGCGGGAGGGGGCGTGTTGTTGCATTAAAGTCAATAGCAACGCAGGTACGACCACGGGCTGCAGTGTGATCTCTGGAACACATTGCAAATCAATGTCAGTGTTCTGGTCTCTCTGGGCCCCCCAAAATGGCGGAACACCAGGGCCCGCTCGCAAATGCGTCTGATACAGCCCTGGTAGTTTCGCCAGTGCCGGTATCTGCGTTTAGTATTGGGTCATTTTCACGAGTACGAGTGCTTGTGAAAATGCCCAGTATTGGCACAGGTGCATCCCTACTTAATATAATGTATTGCTGGGACTTGCAGTCCTGCATAGTTGGTGGTATTCAGCATTGCTGTATAACCATTATACAGCAATGCAGAACACTAGGGATGCACCAATACCACTTTTTTAAGGCCGAGTACGAGTACCGATACTTTTTTCCAAGTACTCACCGATACCAATTACCGATACTTTTTCTTAAAGGGACAGGTCAAATTTTTTCTAAAGCAATACAAAATCATGATTTTAGGTAATCCTTGTATCGGTATCGGTGCATCCCTACAGAACACCACCAGCTAGGCAGTCACTGTCAAAATGTCTACCTCTCTTACAATGAAAGACAGCAAAATGCAAGTAGAGCTGCATGCTTCTGAATGACGGTGGGTATAGCAAGCTGGTGTATTTCAGAAACTGCTCGATAAGATGGGCTTGATACAAAGAGATTTTCATGTACCAGTTAAATCTCTGTTGTTAAAGGATATGTTTAGTATTTCATAAACTCACCCTCCCCCCCCGGCCCTGAATACACCTATACCCATGTTTTTGGTATTCATGTACACATTAGCTTATCACGGCTGCTGGGTTGCCGTCCTCTGTAAAGTGCTGCCATAGTTCTCCAGTCAGCTCTCCCTTCCCTAATGAGCACATCCAGGCTCTGCTAGAGCTGCAACAGTTGCCAGCCTTGCCCTCCACACTACCCAGGGATGAGAAAAAGAGCGGAGTCTCGGGCCCAGGAACATGACTGTTAAGGTGCCACTGGACAAAGAGTGTTGCCTCTAGAACCTGAGCATAATGGGTAGTAAGCAGATAAAGGGGCATTATCCACATTACATGGAAAGCAAGGATGTGAAGAGGTTCAGCAGGTAAGGATAGTACAATGGTTGGGAGTTCTCCATTGTTGCATAAACAGGGATGTTCGGCTCCCTGTATAGTTATTTGAACAGCTGTACTACATTCACCTTTATGTGGAGCCATCATACTGGTGCATAGAACAGGTCTGCAACTTACTGCAGTGTGCTGACTGTGTCCTACAGTGCATGAAGGAGCTGAGTGCTGCTTCTCTGTTTCGTGAACAGTTAAGGCCAGGGGTTTGAATGCACAGACACAAAAGTGGGCTACGGGTACCCAGTAAATACTTATTTACTAAACCATAATACAAGTACCTTTTCCCAAAAATTCATCTTATTTAAATTCAGCAAGGTGATACATTTATATGGGTTACAGTCTTTGCACTGCTGTATTGAATAAATCTAGAGTCGTACTTTTCATGATCTAACCACAATGAGGACAGAACAATAAGTAACTTTTAGGTTTTATACATTTTAGACTTTGGTGTCTATAGGTTTTGCGTCATTTTAAAGGGTGCCGTAAAAAAAGGTTGAGGAACACTGCCTAGAAACATATTAAAATGTAGTATTAGTTGTTGAAATGTAGAAACATTATTGCTCTGCTCAATAATTACAAGACAAATGCTAGCAGATTAATAAAACCTGCTTCTGCATCAATAAATTAATATTAAAATGGACACTGCCTTGGCATATAGCCAACATGCAGCTTACAGTCAAAGAAAGCTGCCCATCATCCTTCAACATTCTTAAAATCATCATTGACAACTTATTAGTATGCAGCTGTATCGTGGAAGAAAATGCTAAGTAATTCAGACCAAACCTCTGGGATTAAAGGCGACAGCTAACTGTCCCTCAGCTGCGCTTTTAAAGTTCATTGTGTCTCAAGTGAGAATTAAAGCCACAGATATCTGTGACTCCTTATCTACCCTCAGCTTTAATGCGTGGACATTCTGGGGGCTCTTCAGTACTAAACCCCACCGCTACTAAAGCTATTGAGGTTTGATTGTTCGTAACATTGGCTCAGAGGAGAGGCAGCTGCTAATGACTGCAGTTCAGAGATCACATCTAATTTTTGTAACCATCACTTGAATCCCTGCCACTTGGCTGTCATGAAGCCTTATCTCTTGGCAGACAGCTCCTAACACACCTGGCTTCTTGCTGCATTACACTTCACAGCTATACTTTTAAAAGGCTCCATAATTCACTCTCTGTACCAAACTGTTCAAAGCCTACAGGAATGTCAGAGCTCGGGGAATCAGAAGCAGAATAGTCTTAATGGAAACAGAAAGGAGATAGCATTCAGTCTCACAGGGATAACAAATACAGGATTCCATTATACGAACATGAAACGGGAAAATAAATGTTACAAGAGGTTACTATTTAAATGTAATAACTGAAAACATGCACATAACACATTTTGTATTGAGTAGGGTATGTGTTTGGTTTTTATTATACGATTATCTGATCTCATTATATTTAAATAAGAGAACATTAGGGAACATTTGCAAATCCAGCAGAAACTGAACACGGTACAATTTCTGGGCACTAAATATTTTTTTGTTCACAAAAAGTGCATACTATATTGTATTGTAAGTTAAAAAAAATAGGAAACTAATTTATATTTGTGCCCTGCAAATACCCTGAAATACCATCTACAATGCTATGATAAACTTTTAAATTGTAATCACTTTGCAAAGTTCATTGTGGCCTATAAACCTTTTGTTTTGAATAAATGTTAGGCATCGCCATAAAAACACCTGTTCCACCAGAATATGGTGATATACACAGCTTTGGACTGGTGTTCTTCACACATGAAGGATCATTTTTACTCCCAGTCCGGCCAAGTGATCAAAAGCAAAGTGTACAGTAGGCATAACAGAACAGTCAACTATTAATAAAGAACGGTTACTGCCAGTAACATGAACCTGTGGTAAATATCTGGTAAAAAACATTAACCTTAACCAAATTATACAGTTCACTTAGGACTCACATACATGTGACAAAAGATGTACCTTGACATTGATTGTGCCTGTGTGCTCTCTAAAATGAGCTGCACAACAGAGATGTGCCCATGTGCTCTTTAAAATGATCTGTACCACATTCATGCGCTCTTTAAAATGAGCTGTACCACATACATGTGCCCACATCCTCTTTAAGATGAGCTGTACCACATACATGTGCCCACATCCTCTTTAAGATGAGCTGTACCACATACATGTGCACACATCCTCTTTAAGATGAGCTGCAACACATACATGTGCCCATATGCTCTCTAAAATTAGCTGTACCTCAAACATGTGCCTGTGTGCTCTCTAATTCACCAATAGGTAGTAATATAAGTCCAACTTAAGTCTAAACACTGGGTGGCAGCAGACATAAATGGAAATATCTTGAGAGAAATATGGCTGCCTGGCTGTCACTATTAGAATCACTATCACAGTCAGAATTCCTAAACTGCATACCTGTTCTGCGTCGGTGATTCAGGCATTGAAGCTAGAGGTTCACCATGACAGCTGAGGAAGCAGAATTTTATTCAGAATACAAGCAACAATGGCAGTAGTTTTATGTCTCTCCTGACAGATTTTCTCGTATTTGCATATCCCTTATACTGGCCATACATGGGCCTATCCTTTTCCTCCCGATCTGAGGACTGCACATTCTTGCAAAAATTAATAGGAAGCAATGATTCTTATTCCAAAGAAAATTCATTTTTCAAGCACAGTATATTAACAAAAACAATTCATAATTAAACACTTCCCCACAGGGGTGACAGTTTTTACAGTTAGGCCTCATTCACATGGGCGGTGAGGGGGGTAAAACCATGCGGTTGATGTGCAGTGTTACCACCCCTAGCTGCTCAATGCAGTATCAGCACTGAATCTGCAAAGTGCTATGCACATTCCCGTGGCCATGATGATTTTTGTCATGGCACAAAAATCAACAGCGTGTTGTGTTTGACAGGCTTGTCAAATTAAACAATAGAAATTAAAAGGACAGCATCGCAACCACATGGGTACGCGGTTGCCGTGCACTACTTTAATGAAAAATCCCACTGGGATTTTAAAACAAACAAGAACAACCCTGCATGTAGGAGGTGGCAGTATTGCCTCCTAAACACCGGGCAGCCACTGCTCTACCTCCCCCTGAAAAGTGATCAATCACAGATTGCTTTTCAGGGGGTGGTGGAGTGTCAAGCCCATGTAAATGGGTTCTAACTAATACAGAAACTGTACCCATATCCTACAGTCATAATTTTTGTAATGTGCACATGTACTGAATTCCTACCTTTGTACTGCTCCCACTCTCAGCACCCCACTCCTTCTCATCCGCAAACCGGAACTGGGTGAAGGAATCTCCTGGAAGAGAAATTGTATATTAGTTTAAAGAACTTCTCCAGTGTAAACAAGTGTTTCTAATGTCAGCCCAATGTTAAGCTCAGCGGGCCAGCAGTATGCAAATTAACTGTTCTATTAAGCCAGCCAGGCAGAATGTTCATTGTCTGTGCTGCCCTACTTTAAAATAATGAAATCAGGATGCACCATGCGGTGTCTAAACCTGCCACTGACATGCTAGGGATTAGAAGAGCTGACAAGCAGCTCCTAGTTCTTCATTCTCCTACATTAATGACTGTTGAAGGCATGGGTCTCCAGTAGGGATGCACCGATACTAGTATCGGTGCCGATACCGAGTATTTGGGCTAGTACTCGCCCAAATGCTCCGATACTTACCTCTGATACCGGAACTTTAGGTCAGAGGGAGAGTCGGCAGTGTGAGGGAGCATGGAGCCGTCTTCCTTTCCAATCAGAAAGCCGGGCAGCAGGTTAGGACATGCCACCCGGCTTCCTTATTGGCTAGGAAGCCGGCTTCACTTTTTGCTTGGCAGCCTAGCTTCCTGACCAATCAGGAAGCTGGACGGCCACTCATGACCTGCTGCCCGGCTTACCGATTGGTCAGGAAGCCAGGCAGTTTCGGGAAGTGAAGCCGGTGTTCTTTCAATAAAACACCAGCTTCCCAAGCAATCAGGAAGTCGGATGGCGGGTCATGATCCGCTGCCTGGCTTCCTGATAATCAGGGCACACAGCACCGGTATCGGCAAGTACCAAAAAAAAAAAAAATATCGGTACTTGTACTCAATACCGTAAAACTGGTATTGGTGCATCTCAAATGTTGAACTTGATGGACATGTGTTTTTATTCAACCTTAACAACTATGTAAATATGTATATAATCCCTAGTCTCCAGTAAACAGCCAGTTCTGTATTTCTTTCACAGAAAGGATTGTTGTTTTTCTGAAATTACATTTTAGTTATGTTACGGGTGTAAATATAAATAGTGTTTGGTTCTTTGGAAATGCAAGGCAACAGGTTAATTTTAATGACAGCCCCACCAGCAGATCAACATACCTTCAAACTTTCTGAGATTAAAAAGGGGACATCTTCCAGCACAATGGGGGACATTTATCAGAACAGGAGCAGCCAGAATCTGGAGGAGCTGTGCATGGCAACCAACCAGCTTCTATCTTTTATTTTTAAAGCTTAACTGAACAAACTGAAGAGAGAAGCTGATTGGTTGCCATGGGCAACTGCTTCAGATTCCTTCTTCTCCAGTTTTGGGAAATTCCCCCCAATGTATTTAAGCAATGGACACAACCCTGCCACATCACAAGTAATGTGGCTCATTGAGAATTTATATGCCAAAAATTATTAGTTAAACCCAGAATTGTCTTTTTTCACCAATAATGTTCCTTTATATTGGCTTTTCGAAACAAGTAAACAAGATATTTGGGAGATAGGATAAAGGTTTTAGTGCAGAACAACACTTTTGAAAGTCAGATAGAACTTTTGCATAGATATCTGTAAATCAGAACAAAAAGAAGGACAACTGAGGAGAAGAGACAGAGGAATTGGTTCCAAATGAGGGACAGTTGGAAGGTATGGATCACTACCAGCCCACGCTGTACTACACATTACATACACAGAACAAGCACAGGTACTAAGAACTTCTTAGTGGATACTTCATTCATTTTTTCATGGCGTTTGCCTATGCATTCTACATAGGTGCAATCCTATCCAATTTTAAACCACTGTTTATGCAATTAAAATACTAATTTGCATATTGTTACAGAATTCTTGATTCCATGTGCAACACAGTGTATGTACTTACTGCAAAGAACTAGCCAGGTAACGTGAACCTGGTTCATGCCTGTTTCCTCCAGTTCATTAACAGCTGCTAGAGACATACTCTAACTATCATGAGACGTCACGCAGATTAAATTAAACATCCAATACTGCTAGATAAAGGAAGTAACATAGGACAAAGCTGAGAAGATCTAGGGCTACAGATAACAATAAAAAGGGGGTAATATATATAGATCTATATCTATCTATATATAGATCTATATCTATCTATATATAGATAGATATAGATTTATATATATATATATATATATATATATACACATACCGTATATCTACACAGGCACACACACAGACACACACACACACATATATATCTACACAGTGGGTCATAACAGCTGGTCATATTTGGCACTTTTATATAGTCGTATAGTTTAAAAAACAAAATATATACTGAAAGCTCCATTCTGAAACAAAAGTGCAAGGGATTAGAACCGGGGATCTGGTTTAAAAACTGGCTGAAATAGATACAAAAGGGTAACTCGATTTGAAGAATATGAAAGCCTTTACGATTTCTATTTTTATTGCAGAGAACACATGAATTTCCTGTAGTTTTGGATGATGTAGCATTGGGGATTTTACTATGATACATTTCCAGCCTTTCGGTGTCACTCTTCATTACAGCATCTTGCGGTCTCCAAGCCTTGTGTCTGCATGTTGACAGCTCTTTTGATGCACAGTCAGCTTCATTTATAAAGCTTTGAGCATTATTCAAATAAATATATTCACATGACTACGACTACTACAACATAGAGAAAAGAGCAACCGAACAGCTTAATAAACTGGGGCAAGTGCTCACTGTTTGTCTCCATGAAGGCAGTAAAGGAATGATGCTTCCTATAAATCCTGCCAGGTTTTTCATACTCATGCACTAGAAAACAAACACAAATAAAAGGACAGAGAACTTCTCAATGTAATTTACCTCTATTTTTGACTATTTAAAGAAAAACTCACCTAATAAAGAATTGCATCTAACCTGGCCACAGAACATACAGTAATTCCAGTGGAATTTCAGATAATCTGGGTACGCATTTCTCAACCTTTTTATTACAGAGTAACCCTTAAAATAACTTTCGAGTCTCAGGAAACCCCCTGTTAATAATTACTATGTCAATAGTTCATGGTACAATAGCATGATCCCCCCTTTACGATACCCAAAAATGGTCAGTCAATGGTATTAGGAGTTATTTATCTAAGAGTCAGAAAATGTCAACTGCTCAACGAACCCCTAGCAACTTCTGGAGGAACCCCCGGTTGAGAAATGCTTGAGATTGGTAGGATTTAGATCAGCTAATTTGCAAATAAGCTGCCCCCCTGGTTTTCTAAACAGGCAACAGGAACATGCATTTATTACAGCTTTAAAAAGATCTGCTCTTAGGAATTACAAACATTTTTGTTTGAACTAGTGTACTTTAAAGTGTAGATAAAAGACAATGTATATATTTTTTGTTTTGTTTGAGTAGAGTGCAAAGCAAGAGGATATACCCCCTTATCCTGTTTTCCCAAAGAACATTTACCCTCATCTTCTTTTTCTGTACCAACTCAAAGATTTGGTACTTTTCATCACTTTCTGCACCAGAGACAATGGTTACCAGGACATACAGACAAGGTGAATCTCCCCAGACAGCAATAACCAGACAAATGTTTTAACACCTCCACATTCTATCCAAAACTACAAAAATATTTTTTAAAGGTTAATTGACAATGCAGATGTACAAATATAAAAAGATGAAATAATTAACAAAAGTACCAAAACCTTGATAACACTGGTGTTTTAATGAAATTATGTGTAATACCCTATTCAGACCTCAGACACACTGAACTACAAGTGAAAGGAAGAGCCAGGCAATTCAGGCAATTCAGAAAGTGACTTCACATCCTGAAGTTGGGATAGGGTGGCAGACCCTTGTACTTGTGGGTTGATGTTACGAGTTGGGAGGTATGCCTAAAGTTTATATAAAACACCTTAGCCGATCAAGACATACCCACTATTTGTTGGATACCACAGGAACACTGGAATTTACATTTTTTCACATCTCCCCTCACCCGTCAAACCATGGCTATTTGGAACTCACTATATACCCGAATGATAGGCCAATACAATTCACCAATAATGTAAGTAACTGGCAATTTGTACTTCCCACCGGGACTACACAACACGGGTTTCCTTAAATGGACGACACACGAAACTTTAAAGTTATATCAAATATGCGATGGAGACAGACCACTTTCGTTAGAATCTCTTAGAGAACGATGGGGGATGTACCCATTTGACACGTGGAGATATAGGCAACTATCACATTTTATGCAATTATCACATTCTATTTCATCACTACCAAAGCCTCTTCGCACTACTTCGCAGCTTACACCTTTTGAAAAATTACTTTTTGCAACAGAATTACCACGTCATGGAATATCACAAATTTATAAGATTTTAATAAAAGATCAACTTAGTCCTTATCCATTATATCTAAACCAATGGGAACAGGACTTGGAGATTACCTGGACGGACGCGCAGAAACAACAATTGTTAAGTCGCAATGCTACTACATCCATTAGCACTCAAGTGACCGACACTACTTTCCGCTTTATGGCACGGTGGTATTATACACCAGAACGCATACATAAAATGTACCCATCTAAGACGGAATTATGCTGAAGAAACTGTGGCCATAAGGGTACTTATATACATATGTGGTGGTCTTGCCCTGAAATACAAAATTACTGGTCTCAAGTAATAGCTCAAATAGAGAAGATTACCAAGGCCACATTACCTCTAGACCCAATGGTTTGCCTCTTCCACCTTACGGACCTGCCGATGAGGGCCTATAAAAGATCATTGGTAGTACCACTACTGAATGCCGTGAAGACCTTAATCTCACTTCATTGGAACCAAACTAATACTCCAACTATAAGCGAATGGCACAGTAGAGTAGAACACTACAGATTGAGGGAAGAACTGACGTCTATCCGGAGAGATAATTATAAAAAATTTGAATCTACCTGGCAACCATGGATTGCCTTTATAAGATCACCCGGAAACCTACAAGATATGGGAGAGAACAGCCTACATGAAGAGAATACACCACCTGGATAAGAAACGATGAAGTGGTAGATTTCTGTAGTGAAAAGGGCATAGGAAATAGTAAAGACTAACACTAT